GTGTGTGGGGGGGGGGCAACTTCCTGGGAAAAAAGGATGGGAACCACTGCTCTACAGTGTATCATATTTTGTTTATTCTGTCGTCCATAGATCTATATCTTTCTTTTGTTAATATCATCATGTGCAATGCTTGTTCTACATGCTTCTAACCCTAACCCCTCCTTACTTTGGATCTATAAAGTATATCTGATATAATATAATCTATCACTTGAGTCTTAAGCACGTCTTTTCACCCTCCGTCTGAAACCAGAGCTAAGTCTGATCTGATTGGTTAGCTGGCCGGCTCTGCTGTGATTGGTCTAATGCTTAGAGATGCCCTGACTCTTAGCCTATCATGCACAATGTGTTGGAGCGCTAGCCAACAGACATAGTGATGTCACTATGTTAAGGAAGTAAACAAAGAGGTTTTAGGGATTTACATACACAAAAACCTATATAAAACACTACAGGAAAGGGACAAAGGCAAAAAGCATAACAGGGCCCCTTTAAATGGTACTCAAGCCTGCAGTTCAATAAAATGTCAGCTGTACTCACATGAAGAAGGGACACACAGGATGCATCAGGTACACTGGCTAACATCTCTCTGGGTTTTATTTGGTATGTCCTAGTTTTACAACCGCAGAGCTGACTACAGCCTGAGCCTTTGGGGGAGCAGGGGTCGACGCTGAACTACACTTCATTCTCCAACGACTCATCCTGTATTTATTTACCCTGCAAATCTGACACAAAAGAAGGCCTGAAGCTGGCTGCACCGGGAGTATTCTACTTTGAATTTCTGACATGATTTAAATGATGCCACCAGTGGGTGAGTCGCAGCCAGCGCTGGGTAATTAGCTGACAAGTCAAGAGACCCTTGTTATGGCCCTTCAGTTTGATGAGAACACTCTACAGGGCGGTGTGCAGCAGCTACCAACCATAAAGGCCTATTACTCTATCAGTGTTATATGAAAATAGACATTTTGATCAATTATTATTTGCTTATTTATATTTAAGGCTCCCTTGCATGACTTCACATTCAGTCTCTCTGCATCAAAGCATGTCATTTTGTTTTAACCCTTTAGTTATTTATGCATTTTAGTTTTACAGCTACATTCTATAAATAATCAATGAAAACGTTATGAAGAACAACATTAATGGCTAATTATTAGTTTAAATGATTTATGCACACAAAAATGATACATATTAAGCTGTTTTTCTCCTATCTAAGTACGCTGATTGTCTTGGTTTTACAGGATTATATATTGTATCCTTTAGGTGTTGGATTGTTGGTTGAATAAGAGAAGAATACATTTGGCTCTCAGAAATTGTGCTGCAGGTTTTTCACTATATTTTGATCTTTGATATACTAAACATATTTAGTTAATCCGAAAAAGCACATTTCTATAAATTACTGTTATTAGTTGCAGCACCAATATTCTGCATTGATTCTATGTATGTAAATTAGATTATTTTGGATCTCTGATCAGCAAACTCCGGCTGAAATACTTTCAAAACACCAGCTGTAACTTGAGTTTCACATGTGGCTAGCATGGTCAAGTAAAATCTAAACACTTAGATTTACCTAAGAAAATGTTTGTTTTGTATTATTGATTCAGTAGTAGTCTCTTGTTTTATTTGTATTGGTTTTCTATTATATTCTAAGTATCTTGAATTGGTAAGTCATTAACATCGCTGGTCTAAGTTTATGTCTCTACTTGATGAACTACTGACGATGATGATGATTAGACCCTCATGAGTTCGACCTAGTGTGTGAGTTTACTACTATTGCATTATTTATTCTCCTATGCACCTCTCTACCAGGTGTGACTGAAACACATGTTTTTGGTGTTTAGGTTCCATGTGTATATCCCTAAAGGAACTAAAGTTTTAACTCCGCGTCTACAGAGGGATGTATTGATGACGTCTTTTTGTAGGCTGACCCGGAAATTAGCATCGCAAGGCTCCCTGGACAAAAAGCAATGGGATTTCACAGTTGACTGTTGGTATATCGCAGAAGCTTTGTCGCAAACACACATTTATCATACTTACACATTTTTTCAGCAGTATAATCTACACATATCAACGCTTTGTGATTTTTAAAGCGTGAATGCAATTGTCAGAAGTAAAAAGATACTGCTGGGCTATAAAGGAACTACATCACAGTCGCATGGCAGCGCATCACAGCCGCTAAGCTAAAGTTGAGTAATGTGTGGCGTAATATCCTGAGGTAGTTTATTTATTCACTTCATAGCAACGGCTGTTTTTATGACAACTAGAAGCTTTGCATATACATCAGTGTGGTGTTGACTGACTTGGTAAAAAAAGTGAATATCTCTAAAGCACGTGTCAACCAAAGACCTCATTTCAGTCTTCAAACCAAAAACACGTTAAAATAACCGTTGACTTTCTGACGAGGGAACCAGAAGTGGTCAAATACTAAGTCGTAGAAGTTTCACCATTTAAATGGTAAATAAAGGTAACTCTCATTGTGTTCTACTTAGCTGAGCTTAAGCCTAAACGGCAACAAAGGCACATAAGTCAACAGGCTCATTTCAGATTTTGCTGCAGGCTGTTGAAGCAGAATCAGTGAGGCGTTTAGTCAGGGTCTGTATGGAAATCAGCAGTTAACCAAAGTATTTTGATGCCAAATATAACCAATGTTTAATAAAATCCTAATTTCTGAGTTCCTATGAATCCATCCACAGTAAAATCTCTGAAAAAGAAAAAAAACTGTAGAAGTATCAGTTTATCTGGTTATATTATTTATAGATAATGTTAGAGTACATTTTACATTTTTGTTTCCTTCTCTCTTATATCCAATACAAATATTGTAATTTAGAGAATTTATTTGCACAGGTTTTAGAGCTTCAATAATGCCAACACAAACATATTTTAATAAAACAATTGTGAGAAATATAAATAATAAGTTTCTTTAGAGAATAAAACTAAAAGTTTCATTTTACCCAAGCACATATCTGCAAATAGTACAAATATGATTTGTAGCTTTTTGGTAAGGTGTAACAGCATTTTAAGTTGATGGAGACTACATTTTTATATGACCTGGCAACACCAGAATTGAATGTCATCTTGGATGTGACTCACCCTGTTGAATACGGGAAGCATCATGTAGAGCTTCTCCTCCTGCTCCTTCTGGGTCATGTGTCGAGGAGGGTGGCACAGCTCGGAGAAGAGCCGTCGCAGGTGCATCAGGCCCAGCGCGTTGTCCTGGGGGCTGCACTCCTCCTGCCTCGGCCGGCCCATGATTCTTTTCACCATGTTCATCTTGAGCGGCTTTGTCAGGGCAAATGCAGCCCTGTAAGTGGAAGAGAGGAGGGTTCAGACATGTCTTAAAGCAACTTGATAGTCGATAAGTTTGTTTTCTTTTGGTAAACATAGAAAGAGGTTTTGTTGAGTATCATAACGGCTCTACTGTACTGAAAATATGCTCCGTGAACAAGATCCACATTAACAATAGGGTGTGGCAATGTGATGAAAATATCAATATTTTCATATTTTCAGTCAAATATCAGAATCAATTTTGCTGCAACATTTTTGCATTCACAAAGGGAGATCTTTGGTAAAAAAAAAAAATCTTCAGTATTGTGGATAAAATCACAAAGTTTGTGAGTGAAAACAATTTAACAGCTAGTCTGGTAAATTCAGCAAATGACATCAGTTTAATGGTGCATTTAAAAAACTGATTAAAAGACAAGACACATGAGGTTATATTAAGAAGTCAAAAATGTAATATTTAATAGAAAACAAGATGGCCTTCTCTAAAACTTTCTTTAAAATAAATGTGATTGAGCTGGCTTATTAATTCTAACTTCTTTCATTTTAACTTGTCTGCTACAAGCTAACCACCATTGTTCCCTTATAAACATCTCGTGTCAGTAAAACAACACATTCTGCTCATTCTCAGGTTCTTATAGGTATTTCATCCTCTCCTGTGACATGTCTCCATGCTTTAATGTTCAAAAAACTCTTTATTTTTCTCATACTGCCTGTGCTGCAGCACCTCTTTTCACCCTCTGTCTGAAACCAGAGCCCAGTCTGTTGTGATTGGTCATCCGCCTAAAGATGTCAGAAATGCCCTGTCCTTTAGTATATCATGCACAATATGTTGGAGCGCTGGCCAATAGAATTGTGTGTGTTACATAGTGATGTCATTGTGTTACAGAAGTAAACAAAGGAGTCCAATAAAGGCATTTCAGAGAGAAACGTTGGAGTTTCAGTCTTTACAGAACATCTAAAAAAGGCACAAAAACCTATATAACACACTAAAGGAAAGGGGAAAACCCAAAAAGCATAACAGGGCCCCTTTAAAAGCAAATTAATAAATGCTACAACAACTAGTTGCTTGTGACGTGGTATATATTTAGCCATTAATTCCACAAATCAATTTCTCAGCCTATCTTTAAGATGGTTGCTAGGAGACTTTGCAGAACTGCAGTGCTTGCATACGATACTGCACAGATAAACATACGCTGAGGAAAAACTAATTCAACAACCAGAAAGAGTGCAACAAAGGAGCTCATCCATCTCTCACTGTCACTTGCCAAAGGGCACAATGACGGTGGTGTTTGTTGGAGAAACAAAACAAATCTCTCGTTTATTTTTCCCTTAACGAGGTATGAGTGTTTGGGGATGCAGCTTGACATTCTAGAAAGAAAAACTCTCCAAAATAGATTTATAAAAACTACTCAAGACTCTTTCCTTTTTGTTTCATTTAAACACTGCTCCATCCTACACAATAATTATCAAGTACATTTTGTAACATCATAGCACACTGGCTCTAAGACTTGGATCCTTTCACACTGTAAAGGTGGAGAATTAGCAACTGCAAGCTCTAACTTATGTTAAAATCATATGTTGCTCGTGAGATTGCTTAAATGACTGCATACTGCAAGACATTTGCTCCGAAAATGTGATTTCCAGTAATATACAGTACAATGCCTTACAAAGTCCATCACGTTTTATTATCAAAAGCGCTCTCACTTTAGACATTAAACCAAAAGCCTCTGCTTTATGGCTATCCAAAACAATTATGATGAGAAATCTTAAAAATAAAAGCTCAAAACTTTTCACAGTGTGGGGGAAAAGTGTTCTCATGGCTACAGAAGGGCCAATAAGATAACTTTGACACCTTTAATTCAAAGCAAGCATAAGTCTCTTTAATATCAACGTTATACTATGTAATAATAGGTGACAGGGCCTTTAAATTAAAATAGGAGTAAACAATGGAACACATCAGGAAGGACTTCAAAATTAATAATAATAATTCATTCCAAAATGCTAGTAAAATTTGATTTCAACCAGAAGTCACTCGTTCTGAAACCGAAACATGGATACTTTCTTTATAGTCTTTGTCTCTGTGGCAGATGTACTTTAGGATACATTCTGAAAGCCATCCAGAACAATATATAGGTGTAAATAAACTGCTCACTCACACCCTATTAGATGCTCTACATATACCAGTGGTCTTTTTTGTATGTTTTTATCATATATTAGCTTAAATGTTGTTCCTGGCCAGTAGTTTTTTAAAGTATTCTTAAATCTATTTTGTAGATTAATCCATTTAGAATAATCTATACATTTGTGAAAGTCCAAGGCAATTTTTTTAAAAGGTCTTGTTTAGTCAGCTGAAACCCATATGACGTTCACTTTATTATACTTTAAAACGGGGACAAGCAGGAACTCTTTCTGTTAAAATATTTTCCTTTTCGAATAAGCAATAAATGGATTCTCAAAATAGGGGCTATTCTTTTTATGTTGATCGTTTTATCGATGCAGCTCTGCTCAAAGGTTTGCTATGAGGACCATCTCTTCAGCTACTTATTAAGACTAAACCAATCTCGATTCAAACCAGCCACCCTCAGGCTAACCGCCCCTCTGAGCACGCTCATTCACTCTTGGCAAGCTTCTCTGTCTGTTGGCAAATCAGATTTTATTGTTGTGATATCACAAGAGATTTTTGTGTATTCATAAAGGAGTTTATAGAAACGCCAGTATGCCAAATGATTTTGAATAATGTGGCTCCTACTTGCTGTTGGCTCAAATGTATTCCCTCTCTTTATGAAAACAACCACCCAATGTTGTTCTATGCTTGTGTCAATGTATGTTTTTTATTAAAAAGGTTCTTTTTTTGGCTAAAATTTGTATTTCCAATAAGCACCCCATTCTTTAAGTCATTAACAAGTCAACCAATGTAATATACAATTATGGCTGTGCAATTAATCGTATTTGAATCTCGATTACGATTTTGGCATGCAACGATTACGAAAACAACGTAATCGAAATAAAACGATTATTTTGCTGCGTTCCCTTTCGCAATGATGCTCTCAATATGTCAGGGTATTCAACTGTTAAAAATATACTGTTTAATTATTATTTTGTTTTAAAGTTATATTTGTTTTAAAGTTCAATAAATGGATGTTTTCCAGTCGATGGATAAACATTTTTAATAATCTTGATATCAATATTGACCAAAGGTAATCGTGATTATGATTTTTGGCATAAGCGAACAGCCCTATAAACAATAGTACTATATATTCAATGTAATGGTCAATGGAATTAAATTCTCATTTTGGTTATCCAGGGACCTTATCCTAACAGCTTATCTTTGCAATTATTAAACACATAATTTTAAATACAGTAAATCAGTCCTGAAACAGAGAAAACGCACATATTTAAATCACCTTATAAACTTTCCCCTAGAACATATAACATACTACTGTTTCATAACTCCAAACAATGCAATTATCTTGTTTTTTTAGTAGGTGTTCCCATAATTCAGCCTTTTGCTAAGTGCTTCCCTGCTAAAGTACTGCCTGGCCATGACTGGCAGCTCGACAACCTACCCCTCTTGTCCCTCTCATCCTTTTAGAACTGTCATAAAAGACAGCAAGAAGATACATGGCGGCAGAGACAGACGGCTACAAAGGCGCTTCCGAGTGTTATCCTGATTTACGGGAATGTGGCACTAACAAAATTAGTCCAGACTGAAGGCTTTAGTAACTCATTTTGCCCACGCAACAGAGCTGTCCTCTATGTGAACTCGCACTAAAACGGCAATTTCCATTTGCTTCACTTTCCTTTGAAGTGCACAGCCTGTGCCTGAGAATTCTTCCCTGACCCTTCACCTGGTCATTGCTTTGATTTGTAACTACCGCAGTCATGCTTTGAGTTGCATAATCAGTTCTTTCGCATCAATGTTGTGTGCTCCTTTCCCCAATTCCAAAGACCTCATCTCAGACACGTTGTAGACCCATGATGGGGATCAAAGAAGACCTGAAAGGCTCACGGTTTGACGTTTACAATACAGCCTGTGTTGGCGCAGATATACTCAACAATTCAGCTTTTACTCACCACCAGCTCTGCCTTCCTGAGATAAGGCATTAGAGTAAGCCCTACAGCACCTATCCTCACAAAACAACCAAATGATACCACTGCCAGCTGCAGACACTGATAAAGTTTGGTGACGGGGAATTTTTGTTTTAAGCGACAGGCCTCTAGACGGTAATGGTAAACCAGTCCAATGTTGATGCATGTTCAAGGATGTCAGCTACATCTAAAGGTGAACTTACTTATATATAAAAAGGGATACATTCAACCTTTGTGAGTAAAACAAAAAAAATGTATGTGAAAGTATGCAACTGTGAAGGAGTGCTTTTGTCATTTAATCAGAGGGTTGTGGGTTCGATCCAACCACCCTATGGTCAACATGTCGATGTAATCCTTGGGCAAGATACTTAACCACGAGTGGCCAATGCCAATGGAATGGCCAACGGTGTGTGAGTGTGTGTGAATGTTAGCTTCCTTATAATAATAATAATCCTTATATTTATTATAGCGCTTTATCAATGACTCTCAAAGTGCTTTACAAATACACATTACATATACAGATCATACATACATGTAATGGTCATCTACTGTGGACAATACCCAGGTGAAGTGTCTTGCCCAAGGACACAACGGCTTTACAGACGCAGCGGCGGCGGGTTTCACCCCCTTGATCAATGCACTGCGCCACACCGCCCATCTTCACACCTCAAAGTCATCGAGGCGCTTTTACAAGTACACATTGATATCATACATGTACTGTGGACAATACCCACAGGAGCACATTTGGGTGAAGTGTCTTGCCCAAGGACACGACGGCCTGACGCAGTGGCGGCGGGAGCGGGTTTCGAACTGGAGTTCCCCAACACCCCCTTGATCTGATGATCAAACGCACAGCCCACTGCGCCACCCGTCCTTGAGCAGCAGCACCTTGCACCTCTGTATGAATGAGGTGTGAATGGGTGAATGATG